ATGGGAAGGATATTGTCAGCGGCAATGCTATCTAGCCGCCTGAGACCAGTTTGCTATCAGCTCGGGCTGAACAAATTTTCGTTCTCTGCTAATTCTTTGGACATAATGCGTGGAAAAGAAGCTCTACGAGTCTCCCGGCGGTAAGAAAGGTTGACGGTTTACCGCCGGCGCCCAGTTGGACACCCCGCCTGGACGGACAAACTTGGCGGACGCAACTTTGTTGAAAACAAGGGCATCAATTTTTCGAGTGCCAAGCTGAGATTCGAAGCAGTCTCGTCGTATTCTGAGCCTCTCCTCAAGTGTGAAAGGTCTACGAGGGCCCCAGCGGTAACCTGGTCGACGGCTTGCCGCCGGCTCTCAGTAACTCGTAGAGCTTCCCTAAGAGCGACATAGCGAAGCTAGAGAGTAATACCTCGTAGAGCGCTTCGGTATCAATGAGCAAGAGGAATTCCGGCGCGGGGTGCAGCTAGTGTGCCCGCCCGGCCCCGGCAGACAATGTGTGAATTTTAGGCCGATTTGCCGAGCAATTTGTGAGATGTGAGCATTCGTTTTGGGAAACTTGATTTTTATTCCCTGTTGTCGATAATCGCGCGTTTAATTGTGTAAGTGACTAGAGCTTGCCTAAGAGCGAAGCGGCGAAGCTAGAGAGTAATTCCGGCGCGCTGGGGGGCTAGCTGGCCAAAAATATATCGACGGATGTTTCTTTGTTTTTTGACTTATGTTAAAATGATTTTGTCGAAGTCTGAGCTTTCGTTAGAGCTCCTAGTATTTTTCTCTCCATATTCGATCTTGTTCCTGCTCGCCATCTTAATCTCAGGTCGATCGGGTGCATATGACTGTCAAAAAGCACTCAGGCGGGATCGGCTGTTCAGTGTCATCTTAGCAGGTGCTGTCGGTTTTCTTAACTTAACTCGAGCTGCCTATGACACGTCATGCCACTCTCTGGGGGGAAAGGCGAGTCTGTACATATGGGGATAATGGATATAAAGAAAGCGTTTGATCATGTGACGGTTTCGCTGGTGATCCGCGCGATGGAACATCTCAGATATCCAGCAGATTTGATTATTGCACTTGTGGAGCCCATGATTGGAAACACAGCAGTTTTTGATTTCCAGGATGTGTGCAGTGAAGAGATCCTGTATAACAAGTCGGTGCGAACTGGAGGGAAAGAAGGTCCAGTACTCCTCAATATTGTGTTGGAGGCAATATGGGCCTCTATTGCTGAAACATGGGAAGCATGTAATTATGGGGTACGATTGGAAGGCGAAGGGGCACAACAGGCGCTGGTCAACCATTACATATGGGCAGATAATGTGGTGCTGTTGGCAGCCTCGGCGAATCAGCTGAGGAATATGGTGAGTATGCTGACCGTTGCCCTCAGACGGGCTGGTATGGACTGGAAGATTGGGAGTCTGGAGTATCTGGTTTTTGGGCTGAGACAGAACCAGTGGCCACAATCATTAGTATGTGAACTGGGAGATGATATTTGTACGCGGGCTGGAGACCCCAACCTACCTTATCAATTACGTGAGGCGGTGGTTCTGCCGAGAAAAAGTGAGTGTGACATACTGGGGGTTAATTTTGTGACGAACCCGAGGGATTTCCAAGCATTACGGCACCGTATTGATGCAGGCAGGCGGTGTTTCTATGCTGATATTAATTTCTATCGATCACGGGCGGTGAACATGAGGGAAACAGTCAGACGGTACCAGAGCACAGTTCAACAGACTATATGCCGCGGATGTGTGGGGTGGAGCTGTAATGAACATGTACTTAACATATTGAGAAGCTTTGAAGGAATATGTCTCAACACAATGCGAGGATTACATAGAAACGAGACGGAAACGTGGGAGGAGTTCAGGGATCGCAGTACCAATAGATCCAGGGAGATGCGCAAAGAGGGGGGGGGTTCAAAACGTTGGTGGAGAAAGTCGTGAGATTTTTCACGGATTCCTGGCTTCATGATTTCATTGTTTTCCCATGGTTTCTCCATGGTTTGTCCATGGCTTCCTGGTTTCATGGTTTCATGGTTTTTCCATGGTTTCCCGGTTTCACGGTTTCCTGGTTTCATTGTTTTTCCATGGTTTCACTGCGGTTTCACGGCTTCCTGGTTTCATGGTTTTTCAAAGGTTCCATGGTTTCTTGGTCTCATGGTTTTTCATTGTTTTTTCATGGTTGCGCAATGGTTTCACCATGGTGTCCTGGCCTCCTGGCTTCCTGGTTTCATGTTTTTTTTCAATGGTTTCACAATGGTTTCCTGGTTTCCTGGTTTCATGGTTTCATTGCTTTTCCATGGTTTCATATTTTCCTGGTTTCATGGGTTCCTGGTTTCGTGGTTTTTCCGTGGTTTCACCATGGTTTCCTGGTTTCCTGGTTTCACGGTTTTTCATTGGTTTCATGGTTTCCTGGTTTCCTGGTTTCCTGGTTTTTCCATGGTTTCACAATGGTTTCATAGCTTCCTGGTTTCATTGTTTCATGTTTTCCCATGGTTTTTCCATGGTTTCATGATTGCCTGGTTTCATGGTTTCATTGTTTTTCCATGGTTTCCTGGCTTCCTGGTTTCATGGTTTCATGGTTCTTCAATGGTTCCACCATGGTTTTTCAGGTTTTCATGGTTTTTCCATGGTTACATTGTTTTTCCAAGTGTGATGATTTCTTTTGATTGTTTCTCGCATGGCGTGGCCACGCGGCATGGCCCTGCCGACAAAGCCGCATGGCAATGCCGCGCGGTTGAATAGACCATGGTATATCCATCATATGGGCGGCGGGCCTGCGCCAAAGCGCCTGGGGGGGGGGGGGGGGGGGGGGGGCGTGCTTGTCGTCTGTTTTGCGCGCTCAGCGCTGATCTCTTTGCAGCGAGCGAATAGGTCCTTGCGCGCATGCGCAAAAAAAAGATACGATGAGCCGCGCGAGGGGGGCATGCACACGGGCCGATGCGTGGACGGGCGGGCGCCCCGGTTGGAAGGCGTCGCCGCGACGCCCCGCCACCCCTCCTTGCGTGTATATATATATATATATATATATAAAGCACCAACTAGCTTGCTCTCGCGCGTACCCAAGTGGGAGGGAGGCGACGCCGCCGAAAGGCAAAGCGAAGACGAAGCCTGGGGCGCAGAATTAAACAAAAAGGTGCGCAGTCAGCAAGAGCAAGAGAAGAGGAAACATAACGCCGAACATCACCAGGCTCAGGCCACGCAGGGGGGGGGGGGGGGCCCTGTAATTTCGCCGCGCCTGCATGGGGGAATCATATTGGCAGCGCTCCCTTGCGTGTGTGCTTGTATGTATATATATATATATATATATGGATACGCACTGCCCTCCTCAAGAGATAGGGGAGGGGGCGCCTGAAGAAAGAAGCGCCCGACATCTGGAGACAGTACAAGAAGGGCACCCACAACCAGAAACAAAAGCGGGCACGCGCGTGGGACGAGACGGGCTCCTTCGACCACATTCGCACGAAGAAGGTGGAGGCCCAACAGAAGGAAGAGTGGAAAAACGAGACCTCATCGTGGTTCTCCTGTTCGAAAATAAACCCTTTCTCGCCCCTAGCCAGCCGACTCGTCAGGGGGCGTGGGCGGAAACACCACAGAGAACAATTCCGCTCACGACATCTGAAAAGACTGCCGATGCATCCATATATATATATATATATGGACGGCGGCACCCTATCGGGCGATACCGATATGAGGCCGCCGAACGTCGACATCCCGAGGTCCCGTTACATCTGAAGAGGTATGTAGCATCTTGGGCGTTTTGTGGAACACTATGTGATTACATTCGCACAAGCACAGCTCCATAACGCTTTGCGTATAGCATGTCATCATTTTTATCTTTGGCCGACCGGAGACCAGAGACCAGAGATTCGGGAAGACTCATCTCCGGTCGACCGGAGACCGGAGACCAGAGATTCCTGGGACTCATCTCCGGTCGACCGGAGACCGGAGACCAGAGATCTCCCAGGACTCATCTCCGGTCGACCGGAGACCGGAGACCAGAGATTCCTGGAGACTCATCTCTGGTCGACCGGAGACCGGAGACTGGAGATTCCTAGAGACTCATCTCCGGTCGACCGGAGATGAGTCCTGGGAGATCTCTGGTCTCCGGTCTTCACGGTACACAGAGCCGGAAGATTGAGTCTCCAGGTATCTCTGGTCTTCAGGTACTCATCCGAGTTAGTCCAGAGGAAAAGTACTTCAGGAATCTATTGGTGCTCCTGTTGACTGGAGATAAGCCCCTCATTTAATCTCTGGTCTACGGTTCATCGGTCGGACATTTATTCGTACTGAACAGGGCTCTGCTCAAGCGAACAGTCGGTCACAGACGAGACCTGCGCGGCTACTATGCTTTTGTCTACCGGAGACCAGAGATTCCTGGAGACTCATCTCCGGTCGACCGGAGACCGGAGACCAGAGATTCCTGGAGACTCATCTCTGGTCGACCGGAGATGAATCCTGGGAGATCTCCGGTCTCCGGTCTCCGGTCGACCGGAGATGAGTCTCCAGGAATCTCCGGTCTCCGGTCTCCGGTCGACCGGAGATGAGTCTCCAGGAATCTCTGGTCTCCGGTCTCTGGTCGACCAGAGATATGTATTCAGGAATCTCTGGTCTCCGGTCTCCGGTTGACTGTAGATCAGCCACTCCAGAATCTCTGCGCATGGTCTCCGGTTTCTGGTTGATTTCATTCGTCATGCAGGGCTCAAGCGGACAGTCGGTCACAGACAAGACCCGCGCGGCTACTATGCCTTTGTCTGCGGACGAACGCCTCGCCGAACTGCGCCGCCCAGATGATGGCGAGTCTCGTCTCGTCACCCTGACGGCTGCCCAGTGTTCGCGCCTGAGTTGGCAACGTGCATCGGATCTTCCCCGATCGGGAAATGGTCGATCTGGCACTTCGGAGTGCGATCCCAATCGTGTTTTAAGTGTCGCTATCTGGCATTCGTTCCTCCTGGGCCCCCTCTCGATCTGATCATCCGTCCCCCGCGGTCACATCGCCTGGAGGCGATGGCGTTTGCGATCAATACTGTCGGCCGTCGCTCAGCCGACCAAGGCAGGACGGTGAACCCTGAGGACGTGGAGGCCGCTCTCGACATGCCAGACTTCCTTTTCCGCCCAGTCGACCAAGTCGCCCACATGCTGAACCTGATCGACGTGGTGATGGCATGGTCGGGCAACATCGATGAGGAGACGGTCAAGGCGGCCGTGGAGAGCAGAGGGGCGCAGGCAATGGAGAACGTGCCAGATGTGCTGAAGATTCCAGCAGGAGCGCCTGCGAGCGTGAAGGCGCAGTTCGTTGTTCAGCGGGCTGGCGTTGGGCGGTACAACGTGTTGCGCCACTTCATTTTCAAGCACGGCACCAGCCTAAAGCGCGCAGACACGCGCCTGTACACCATGGGCCAGTCGGCGACGTTCCCTGCGGCCGAGGACTCCAACACTTGGGGCCAGCGGAAGAATTTCAATGCGATGCTCGACCGCTTGCCAGGATTCCAAGTGCGCCATTTCAGTGTGACCCGCAAGGAGCCCAGAGATCAGCAGGGGAAGGGCTGGGACCCCACGCCAGAAGAGATCCGCGACGGCTTCGCGTACATCCGCGAGCACTACCACGAGATTGCTGGTTCAAGCGCGATCGAAGCGCAGGAGTGGGTGCTTCTGCAGACTAAAATCCGATCGAGCGCTTGCTTTGGGTGGCCAACCAGCCAGATCGAGAAGGCGTTGGTGAACATGGACAAGGCATCAGCTTCGGCCGACGTAGACATATTCTTCCCGCTGACGTCGTACGACCTGCATCCTGTCATCCAGGAGCTTCTGCTGCCGTTGATCTACGCTTTCGCCCCGCTCTCTGGTACCATGGTGCTCGGCGCTCCCGGAGTGGGGAAGACTCCCTTGTGCCAGATTGCAGCCATGGCGTGGGGGCGGTACGTGACGCGGAGCAAAGGCATCGACAAGAAGCCTGGCTTCCGGCGGGGCAAACAGATGGACGTCTTTCGGGATAAGGCAACGCCCGTGTATGAAGGCATCTTGCTCGACGACCCCTCTCTGGATCGCATTGACATCGAGGACCTCAAGGCCTTCGGTACAGTCCACACAGCGGGTCATTGTGACGCTCGGTATACTCCCCCTAAGTGGGCCAAGGGCCAGTTCCACGCGCTTCTCAGCAACTGCTGGTCGGAAGATGCTGAGCCGCCAGACTCGGCGGAATTCTCCATCGACCCCCAGCTGTTCATGAGAATGCTCGAGAAGCCTTTCGGCTACCTCAGCCAGTCGCACAGGCTCGCCCTCACTAAGCGGTTCGTGCTCGTTGTGGTCGGCAGGCGCGCGTTGTACGTGCGAGCGCCTAGCTCCGATGACGCCGCCCAGATCTTTAAGTTCACTCAGGGCAACGTGGCCTCTGACTTTCTGTTGCCAGACCACAAGGACGCCCTCGCTGGCTTCTACCAGGGCATGGATCACGAGGACTGCGTGCACCCAGATTATGCGCTGCACGTCGAAAACGAATACAGTCTCGTATGCGAGGTGCAGGAGGCGGTGCGGCAGAAGACCGCAGAGGAGATCGCCTCGTGGTGGGCGAACCGCACGGCCGATCGTCTATCGTCAGCCAGTGGCGCACCACCTGCGCCATCCATCCACCATGTCCCTGCTACTGCTGGTACGCAGGCATCCGACGCTGGCGGCGTGCGCGTGCGAGCGGATGCTGACGGCCAGTATCGCTTCCGCCTGCCAGCCGCGGGATCGCTGGCACCGCCAGGCGGATCGCGCCGCGCTTTCCGATACCCTCTCTCCGCGAAGCGTGAGCGCGAGGAGTTGGATCGGACCGACGCGCCTGGCGGCCCGAGGCCGAGGAGGGGCCTCGGCAGCGCCGCCGAGGGCGCTGCGCGGGCCAGCGCCAACGGCGCCAGATCGGCGTCGGGCGCGGGGGCGACGCCGCATGGCCTAAAGGAAGAGTTCAGCAGCCCCCCTGCGGCCCCCGCCGTGGATAGCATTGGCGGCGCTGTGATCGACGTATTGTCCAGCGGAGAGGAGGGCGACGCTCCGCCCGCGCCGCTTGCTCGCTACCCGCGGGGAGCACGCCTGTGCGACAGATCGTTTGGCTGCATCGTGTCGATGCAGTTCCGCCCCGAGAACGTGCGGCGCTACCCAGACTGCTGCATCCTGGATGCCCTGAACGCCATCGGCGTTCCCGTGCCTTACGATCACGCCGGCCCCTACACTTTGGATGAGGCAAAATCCCTGCTCAACCCGTTCGGTCTGTCGTTGCTCCGCTCGCATCCCAGATCGGCCAGAGGTTCTCAGGCAGGACGCTACATCATCGTTTACAGCATCGCACCCAATCGTCCTGGGCACGCTGTGGGTGGCATTGTATCCAAGGGCCGCGTGCATTTCTTCGACGGTTTGCGAGAGCAGGTCCGTGCGGGCCATTCCGCCTGGCACCGGCTGCCCGACGGCACTCCCTCGTGGATCTGTGATTGGTATCAGGTGGTCTGCTGCGTCGCATGACCGCGATATTTTTTTTGCGCGATTGCCCGTTTCGCAGATGCGATAGTTTGGCGTCGAGTGCAGAATGGGCGCCGATGCTGTGCTGATGTGAGTTTCCGTTGCTGCGCAGGCTCGTGGCGCGCGTGCAGGGCGCCGAGCACGCGCCCGAGGCAGAGGAGGGTCGGCGCGGCTTGTTTCGTCTTCTTTGTTGAAAGTCAGTTCGCATGGTAGTGGCCAAAATTGATTGAGCGTGCAGTCTTTGGCAGGGGAAATGCCCGCTGAACGGGGCGCGGCGCATTTCATTTGAAGACTTCGCTGCGCTTTCCGCTGCGACGACGTGCAATCCATCATGGGTCCGATTGTCGCGGCAGCGGCGCGCCGCGTTTCATCCGTCACTTCTGGGCGCAGCCATGGCCGCTGCAGCGCGGGCGCTCTTCTGTGCAGGCCCCTTCGCCCGTGCGCAGCGCGCGGGGGGCGCGCCCCGCCCTTGCGGCCTCGTTTGGATTGCGTGAAGGAGTGGATGTGAAAATACACGTTGCATGTGTCTTTGGGTCGCACTTTTGTTGGCCAGTCTCATGCATCGACGTTGCTGGGTTGATATCCGTAGGTATTTTTGCTCAAGAAGAGATACCCGTTCTTTGAGATGGGCAAATTTGTGCCGAAACGCGGTAGACTTCGCAATGGTTCGCTCCCGCGTCATGGACAGACTTTTTTTTTTTTTTTTTTGTTTTTTTTTGATGTTTTTTTTTTGATTTTTTTTTTTTTTTTTTTTTTTTTTTTTTTTTTTTTTTTTTTTTTTTTTTATTTTTTTTTTTTTGTTTTTTTTTCCTTTTTTGTTTTTTTTTTTTTTTTTTTTTCTTTTTTTGTTGTTTTTTTTTTTGTTTTTTTATTTTTAGACTTTGAAGCTCATCAAAAAGCCTGCGGCGCAACCGCGCTCGCGGCAGAGTGCTCGAGCGCGCGCCACTTACACGCAGTCCGCGGCCGCGGAGATCAAAGGAGATCCACGCGATCGAAAAGTCAGTAAGAATTTGGTTGACCTGGCTCGCATGACGGAAGCAGAGATTTGGAATTTCATGCTCAAGGTTGATTTCGCGAAAGATTTGCATGGGGAACGCTGTCCAGTGTGTAAGAATGGATATCTGGGTGCCAAGCAATTTCGATCTGATGGGAGTAAGCCGTTCCACCGCTGCTCGTCTTATAAATGCCAGCGCCGTGAGTTCCCATGGGGGCAATGTCCGCTTTTACACCATGGGCGACGTTCAGCTCCTCTCCAGCAGCAGCTCATGAACTTACTGTGCCTGTCCACGACGAACTCAGTGACTAGCACCATCCATTTGACGGGGCATGCGCGCAGGTCTGTCATACACACGCACGGGTTACTACAGAATGCTCGTAAGTTGTACGTGCAGCGGAAGGAGAAGACCATGACTTTTGGCAGTGACAAAAGAGTGCCAGCAGCGAAGTGGCACGACATCGAAGTAGACGAGGCCTCTTTCGGCAAGATGCTACTCCGACCTCCACGCAGCGCGTCTGACCACTGCCTCGCATGGGAGAACTGGATCGGTATTCTGCGCCGTGGTCACCCAGGTTCTCTCATGCTCATTCGTTCGAAAAAACACGCCCACCCTGGCGAGATCGCCAGGTCCAGGACCGATCACTAAGGACCAGTGGAAATGCATAGCAAAGAAGCACTTGCAGAACCGATGTGTCGTTATACACACAGATTCAGCACGAGCATACCGTGAAACCAATATTCCGGGAACGGTGCGGGACCAAGTCGTACACCAGAAGAAACGAGTTTTTAACAACAAGACTAAGCGGTTCACGTGGACGAAGCCTAAATACGTGGGCACTGTGCAGCACAGCGTTGATGGCAAACGATTTTGGCGCAAGTCTGGAACTCAGACAGTTGATAGCTGCTGGAGATTCCTGAAGTCTCGCATTCACAAGAATCAATGTATGAAACCAGGCTCGCGCGCCTTTACGGTGGCAGTCAAGTCTGCACAGTACGAATATTGGACGAGAGGCATGGACCCTTGGGAGGCAATGTCTTTGCTGCTCAAATGACAACTGTCGGCCGCGCATCTCTTGTCTCATCATCATTCGAGCTGTTGGCTCGTGCAGGAGCCGAGCGGCCAGATTTGTTCAATGCTAGTGCGCGTGCAGACCTTCGCACTCAGATAGGCCTGAGACACTCCTCACGTGATCGCTTAATCGCTAGATGTTGCTGCGTCGCTGTTGGCTCATGCAGGAGCCAATCTGTCGAGCGCTTTAACGCTGTGCCGTATACAGTTGAACGCCACAGTTTGCGATCATCGGAACACTGCTTGATGTGAGCTAACATAAATTTATGATCACTCGAGTGTTTTAACGCTTTTGCGTATACAGTTAAACGCAACAGCACGCGGCCATCGAAGCATTGATTATTTTGAGCCAGCAAAATGACTGATTGAAGTATGTGAGCATCCCCGGACCAGTTAAGATATCCTTGAGAAAGCTCCTAAAGAGGCCCCGGGGAGGGGGCGGTCAGGGGGGGAAAATGGCGCCGGGGCCGAGGCGGGAACCACATTTAGACTAATATTCTAAATGTGGTTCCAGCCCCATCCTCCGCACGGGTCCTGGATGGCCAACTGCGGTCCAAGGCACATTCGCAGACGCCCCAATTAGCTTCTGATAATTGCAAAAATGCAAACAAAATGGCGCAAAACGGCCTTCAATGTTTCCAAAATGCATGCCCCAGTGGGAAAAACACAAATGAAAAAAACGTTCCCGCATGCTTTTCCAATCTTATGTGTAAAAACACGATATGCGGAAGGATTCGGACCAAGCGGAAGCCCGAAAACAAGGCCAACGTTGCACCGGGAACCGAATTTTGGAAGAATCAAGCACATTCAGATGGAAGAAGCAGATATGATAAAAACATCTCCCGGGATTGTTTCCGAATCCTATGTAAAAACAAGATGCGAAGGAGGGCCGAATAAGAGGAGCGGGAGCATGAGGAGGAGGAGCAGGAGGAGGAGAAGGAGGAGGAGGAGAAGGAGGAAGAGGAGGAGGAGGAGGAGGAGAAGGAGGAGGAGGAGGAGGAGGAGGAGGAAGAGGATGAGGAGGAGGAGGAGGAGGAGGATGGAAGAGGGACCTTCGTAAACAGGTCTAGGGTGAGAAACGGCGCTGGATTGATTCCACTCGCCTCCCCAGAGAGCCGACGTTCCAAACAAATTGGAGCGGCAAGAGTTGGGTTCTTTACTTTCGTCCTCCTCCTCGCCCTCCTCGTCGTCCTCCTCCTCCTCCTGCACCACTATGGGCCTCTTTGGGCCGTCGTGCCCAAACGGGTCCGTCGCTCCCTCGGCAGTGTGCGCTGGATTCTCCTTCCGTGGATTGCTTGCCTTGCCTCCTCCTCCTCCTCTTCCTCCTCCTCCTCCTCCTCCTCCTCCTCCTCCTCCTCCTCCTACTGGAGGCCTTCACCAGGCCTCGGAAGCATAAAAACCGATTCAGGACGAAAAGCTGTTTTCAGAGAAATCCTCGAAATGTGCAGATCCAGGGTAAGAAGCGGCGTTGGATTGAACTCACCCGCATAACTCAGAGGAGGCAGGGTGACACGAGGGTTGCTTTTTCGGCCTTCGAGGACCCTCGTCGCGTCTGAACGTGGCTCGGAAAACGGATGCGTTTGAACCCTGGGAGAGGTCCGGGAACCGATTTTGAACCGAGTTCGGGCATCATTGTCTCACCGCCGTTATCTCACGTTGCCTTCTCTGAGTAACTGGTGCACCTGATCGGAACCACAACCATCACCGCAGCGCCAGTTGGGTTGATTGAGCCCCGACCGAGTAGAATGTGGAGGAGAGCTTGTGGCATTTTGCCTCGGCCGACACTTTGCCAGGGTTGTGGGTCACCGGCGTCTTCGATTTAACTGGGATACTCTTGAAAGTCTCATCGGCGACAGTGTATTTTCACGTGCTACCTTGGGCTAATCTTGATGTATTGTTGTCGCTTTCTCCGATCGTTTTCGAGCTCCGAGTTTCGTCTTGGAACTCTCGTAAACAAAGTTTGAGCTTCCTTGGATGCCTCAGTGGGCGTTTGAGTACTTGTTCAGCGTGTTTGCCACATCCCTTGTCACACATGTTATTTTCCTAGTCGTAGTGATGCAGCTGATTATTTGTTATCTTCGATTCGTGTATCATCCGAGCAATTTGGGCTCATTAGTAATATTGTCCCACGTTGCTGTTGTACCGAGCGCAGCTTCAGAACAATGCCAGAACATAAGAAAGACTTTCTTCAATTGTTGCGGGATGGAACCCCCAGCGAACGAACAGACGCAGTTGGTGTAGCTACAAAGCGGCTACTAAATATGACGTTCAATGGCGTATTGAATGATGCGAACGGTGTGTATATCATATTCTTGACGCTTCGCGTAACCCCACCAGCCCATCCAACACCAGGCGCTCGAACGAAGAACGCCGATGATCGGCAGCTGTTCTCCTCCCCCTTTTCCTCCTACTCCACCGCCTTGTCGTCCTTTTCCTCTCCTCCTCCTCCTTCTCCCTCTCCTCCTTTTCCTCCTCCCTCTTCTCCTCCTCCTCTTCCTCCTCCTCCTTCCCTTCCCTTCCTCCTCCTCTTCCTCTTCTCCCGCTTCTTCCTCCTCCCTTGTGGCTTCTTGGAGGTATATTGGAACGTTTTGGCGGACTCTTGGGCCTTGCGGGCAGGCGGCCGGCGTTCCGCCCGCTCGCGCGCAGGCCAAGAGGAGAGTCCAAGACGTCTGTTGAAACCCTCTTGGAGGACATCGATCACAGAACGGGGGGCTTAAATTAGCAACGCCTTCCTTGGGGCCGCGATCCTCGTAAGGCCTGTCGAATTTTAGCTCTCCCAGGGGTCGATCTTGGACACTCTGACCGCTCGCGAACGCTCCTGTTCAGGTCAGTGGGAAGGAGTAGGGGGACGGATGCCCCTCCCCGAAAGGGAAGAAGGAGGGGCGGAAGAGGAAACGCCCTTTGCCAACGACGCCCAGAGGGCTGATGGGATTTCAATTGCTACTTCGCCATCTCAATTTTGATACATGGTCACCGCTCCGAGTGTTCGCCACGCTCATGGCAGTGTATGTCGTCAAAAGGTGCACTGGGCGAAAGATTATCGATCGCTTTGCATACAAGCCAGGAGTGGCGACATTTTCGTTCACACTGCCGCTGTATTTCCGCATTGTTACTGCTGTCAACCCCTACAACAACGATGACCGAAACAGTATATCCAAGGTGATGGATTTGTTGCGCTTGCATCCAGTGTGGAAGGATGGGGATTCCAATGACATTCTGCTAGCTGACCCTTTTTTCCAAAAGTTGCGCAATTGGTATATCCCACACGCTACAAGGGCAATGACCACAGAATCAGCAACTTATATTTTCGATCAGAAGTATGCGCGCGCGTTGCTTCTTACACTTTTAGTGGTTTTGTCGGTCAGGGCAGATCGTTTTCTGACATACTTGGTTGCGAATCCTGCATTCCTTTTGTTCGACGAAGAATGCTTGCCGCTGCTCTACAGGGGCGTTGTATTAGGAAAATCGTTGTACCTTGGGTTGCGAGATAATTCAGTCGCCGCGAGATGTTGCGCCACCACAGAGCAGAAACTTTGGAGAATCGGAGATCTAGTTGATTCGATCCTTGTTCCATGCTGGGAATGTCCTGAAAAGACCCTCGACCCGATTCTGAATGCAACTTCGGTGGCTGATCTCGCAAAGGCTCTCATGGGCATCAACAAGACAAAAGGTAAGCTTGTGTTCAGTCATTCGATGGAATACTTGTTCTTACTGCACGAGCAAGCATGCAAGGCGAAACGGGCGTCAGTTTTTAAATTCGCCCTCGATATGCAAGCACTCGACGACCACATTCTCTTGGGAACGAATGGAGAAATATTCGAAGAATGGATCAACGCGTACCCCGCCGGGAACCGAGCTGCCACTAGCGCGCGAAAGCGTTCCACGGTCCACGACCTGGCTGCTGCGGTGAATGAGATGCTTCCGCTGTCCATCCACTACACTGACGGATCTGTCGCCTACACTCAGCATTTCGGCGCGACGTCTGCCCAGCAGACATCGTGCAAGATGGTGCAAGTTGCCCAGACGTATATCACGGGCAATACGGGCGGCAAGGACAGGGATCCAAACGGCAACGCAGCAGGTAAGAAACGGAAGCGAGGAGAAGTTGTGTCTTTGAAGCACGACGAGCCCGCCAGCAATTTGCGCCGCGTGCGCAAGAAAGCGCCCAGGCTGTCCTTCGTGCGGGCCTGAGTTTGTCTTCCTTCGTCCGCGCACGTGCGTCGAGGCATTGCCTGCCCTGCTGTCGTTATCCCGTTTCCCAGTTAGAAGTGCTTGAGAGCGCCTGCAGAGAGAATCCGCCACCGAGAAAAAATTATAGCCCATCCGTTGCCATTGCAGCAGGCCGCATCTACCACCGTCGTTGATCGTGCATTTCTCGGGGAGCGCACGACAACCGCGCGTATTGCCCGATAGGGTGCCGCCGCGCATATATATATATGAATATCCTGTACTATATTCTTAGGCTGTTTCTCCCCCTCCTCCTTCTCCTCCTTCTTCCTTCTCCTCTTCTTCTCCTCCTTCTACCCCTTCTCGTTGTCCTCCCCCGCATCCTCTCCTCCTACCCCTCCTCTCATCCT